ACCACTGCTGAAAAAAATTTTCACGCATGTTTAGTGAGCCGAAATAAGTAATGGTAATAGGACTGAGTGGAGTCCAATTCGGTCTGTAATCATACGAGTGATAACATACGAGTGAGAAAAGAAGGATAGCCAAGTTATGAAAGAAAGGGAAAATTTGCATTAAAACACTGACAAAGGAGGCGTAAATTGTTTAATGTCGCTCTGAAATTGACAACAATCAAAATGTTATGTCTGTAATGGATTGCTGTTCGAATGCGATTGGTTGATTTAAAATACAACTTTGTGGAGGCGCGGTGGCCTCATGGTTAGTGTGCTTGTCCCCAGATCGAGTAGTCCGGGTTCGAGGCCTGGCCGGAGACACTGTGTTGTGTTCTTGGGCAAGACACTTTACTCTCACAGTGCCTCTCTCCACCCGGGAATATAAATGGGTACCGGAGAATTGTTGGGGAAACCTAACAAATTGCGGGGGAGTGACCTGCGATGGACTAGCATCCCGTCCAGGGGAAGTAAAAATACTCCTAGCTGCCTCATGCTACAGAAACTAGGATAAGCTCCAGCAGCTATGAGCCAGTCGGTCCCAAGGCTTCATTTGTGAATGTGATTGGCTTACTGAACTGTCTAATAACAAACTGTCCGATAACAAACTGTCCGATAAGAACTTGACAACTGAATTAGTGGAAAATAGGATTTTTTAAACAGTCACAATCGAGGAACTCGTATTTTTTGTGATTAAGCTTCTTAAACGAAGAAAAAAAATGCGTACACACGTCCCGAGAAAAACATTGGCCAGTGCATGAAAGGGTTTTAAGAAAATCGTGCCTACACCAAATCTCCCACACATTCCTTGAAAGTCGAATAGGCCACCCCTAAGGCGCAAAGCTATGTGTAGTTCTTTGAAGACTATTTAAAAGAAATCGACTTCATTTAGGGCTCTGAAATTCTTTTGCAGTTTCATAACATGTCCTCCTCAGCTTGCCTTCATGCTAACTCTGATAACACCACGTAATCTATGATCAGTCTTCCCTGGCTAAAGAAATGAGAAAAAATGCAAGTGCAGGTCTTACGAGTCTAGAAATAACTAGAAATTGATTCCACATCATCGGAAGAGCTCTTTGCGCGCT